ATCCAGTGTTGGGAGACAGTTTACTCGATATGTGGGCACCAACTCTTCGCAAAAACGAGATCCCAAGGTAAGATATTGAGTCAAACCTTTCCCTCAAAGTCATATATATCCAATTCTGATTCCTCTGGTCTCGTAGTGATGCGACAGCCTTTGGCTATGGATGTTTGGAGTGGGACCCGTTGCCTGTATCACAAGATCGCAAAAATATTGCTAAGAAACTGTTGAAGTTTAACAAGGATCCCCACCACAGAACTGCGGTATCCCTGAGAAATGCAATCAACTCCCAGGACATGCTGGAATTGAACAAGGCGATTACCAAAGAACCCCTCCCAATCAACCAACTTGACCATACCGAGAAAGCCCCGATTCACCTTGCGGTATATTCCAGGAATACCGATGCCATTCGACTACTTGTTCAGTATGGGGGCTGATGTTAACATATGCGACTATCTAGGAGGCACGGCACTCCATACGGCAGTCAACATTCGGAATCTTGACATTGTCAAAATTTTAATCAACGCAGGTTGCTCAGTGAACAAGATCGACTCAGCAGGCAGAGTGCCGATACGCTACCTTATTATCAGGCGCCTACTCAGAGTCTTATCAGAAGTTATTGAATAACTTTATGAGATTTGCTGTGAGGCGGCTATCACCTGAGAGACTTGACAAAATGGTTAAAGCGGGTATGAAGTTAGACTGCATTGACAAACACGGGGAAAACATTCTTGTAGCTGCGGCTAGTTCAGCTAACGCGGCGATGATGGACTACCTACGGACTCAGAGTCTTGAAGTCAACACTGAGTTTCTGTCTAGAAACGGGAACTCCTGGGACGCCCTGCGTTTTGTCATGATCTGTGACGAAATATCCTTGGGAATTTATCGCAGTCCGTCGAAAGAAGAAGCGCACGCCTTTGATCTATTATTATGCGATGTAAGAGATCGGAACCTGAAGCATGAAATCGACATGCTCCGCTCAATCTTGGAATCGATATTGAATCGAGATGGCGAAGCGGCAATACGTCATCTTAGCCGTTGTTGCAATGGAAAAGGGAGTGGAACAGAGAGTTACAGGCTCAAACGTACCGGGTTGTTGGCATTCAGATTAGAGAGGGAATGTGGGAAGCTGCTGCCGAGGCTATTGATCTTTGCGTGGATGAGATTGGATCGTCGCCTTGGAAGAGAAGGTCACGTTGGGACAAAGATCCTGACGCAGTTGATTACAGCGGCGTCCGAGAACAGTTTGAACTGGTCATTTGGCTACAAGAGATGTCCTCTTTGTAACCCCAGCTGGCATCTTCGACAGAAACACAGACCCGGTTGGTTTGGGAGACAGGAACCACGCAAGTTACCGCGATCGATGCAATTGAGAGGATGTCGGACGGTATCGGAGGAGGTTACGATTCAGAGGTGGCTTGAAGAAGGAGATGAAGATTGTACGTATATTTACTGTGGTGTTGGAGTTCCCATTATTTACAACCGTTAACCTTGGACAGCTTGATAAACCAACGTCCACACGATCTCGAGTCTTGACTTATCCATAGGCTGTTCTGGTCGGCTGTTGAGGGACAAAATGGGCCCTTTTTAGTTTCTGTTGAAGCAATCCAGATTGAGATATTACATTCCCTTTTTTTCTTCATTCTGTGAATTAAATTCCGTTTTTCTTCATGTTATCTCTGTTCCTACCTGAGGTGGAGAGGTTTATGACCCCTGAGTTTAGACCCCACATTGGTGTTCGGGTAGGGCTGAATTATTTATATTGGTTGACAGGACAACAGCGGTTTCTCTTCTTTCTTTCAATCAACCATCTTAAACTGTCTGTTAACTTTGAAGAGGCAAAGTTATCTAATGCATAGAATACATCTTCATATGTCGTTGAATAAACCAATTTGATACATGTCGCATTCAGCTGTCCATTTAAGACTTGCTAGTTTGACGTCACATGGTGGGGTAATGAAGCTTTGACCAATGACATGCCCCGCAGCTTGAGACGTCTCATCTTGGCTCGCTTGGCATGGATAACTTCCGAGCTCTCCGACAACTTACAAGGGATTCGGGGTACCACAAGTCGTTGCTTCCGTCATACATTCTCCCCATGCACTCGGCCGCCGTTGAGGTCATTTCAGAAACAAGATAAAAAGCTTGCATTGCAGCATAACTAAAAAAATGGATCCTTTCCCCCCAATTTCGCTCGCTCCCCCATTTCGTCCGTTCTTTTTAGACTTGCAGTCACTTGATCACTTTTGACCTCCCCCTCCCAAAACGGTCCCCTGCTTTCAAGGCATCTTTCCCAACAAAAAGTCACAGCCCGCACTTGGCACCAACCAAGAGCATCAACCACCATCCTTTGTGTGACTTCAGCTGACTACAGGCTACCATTTCGTGTGCACATTCGAAGCGTTTGAGGCTGGTCGTCGCTTAGTAGTAAAGTGCACTTACTCCGCGAGCCGAGGCACAGAGGACGCCTCTTCACAAGCCGAGGATTGTAACAGTAAGAGCTGAAGAGCATATAAGCCACGATATTAATCAGTGGATTTGACTGAGACTCAATTGGAAAAAAACAGCACACGCCTTGGGTCTTTCAAGATGAGTTACAACACCGGCCCGATACCGCTTTACAAGGTGCAGAAAGAGCCCTACACCATTGAAGCTCCGGGCTACTCACCTGTCGAGAACGAAACCATCCCTCGTCGTCATCCGAAAGCCAAAGATGGCCTCCTGGAGCGACCGGCGCCCGGCGTCAATACTACCTTTGACCTTCTAAAGAGGAGCGCTGAGAAATACGGAGATGAGCCTGCAGTTGGCAGCCGGAAGCTTATCAAGATTCACAAGGAGAAGAAGAAGATACCCAAGGTGGTTGATGGCGAGACAATCGAGGTTGACAAGGAGTGGAGTTACTTTGAGCTTTCTGACTACACCTACTTGACATACAAGGAATACTTGGAGCAAGTCTTGCAAGTCGGTGCAGGTTTGAGAAAGCTTGGCCTGTCCCCCGAGAATCGTGTACATCTCTTTGCAAGCACATCGTAAGTTTCCTCAACTTCTTTCATTCCGCCAGTCCGTCGCTTACAAGACCCTGCAGTCCACAATGGCTGGGTATGGCACATGCATGCGCCTCACAATCCATGACGATCGTTACGGCATACGATACCCTCGGCGAAGCCGGTGTTGAGCACTCGCTAGTGCAAAGCGAGCCAAATGCCATGTTTGTCGATCCCCATCTGCTCAAGACGGTCGTGAAGCCGCTGAAGAAAGCGACATCTGTCAAATATCTCATCTACAACCAAGCAAGTCACCAGCAAGTCCCCGACTCGGATATTGAACAGTTCAAGTCTCAACACCCAGAACTTACCGTTCTCTCTTACGAGGAAGTCCGCGCTCTTGGCGAAGACAACCCGATCGACCCTGTCCCGCCCAAGGCTGAGTCGATATTCTGCATCATGTATACTTCTGGTAGCACCGGTCCACCAAAGGGCTGCCCCGTATCCCACCAGGGGTTTGTAGCTGCCGTCGGAGGTCTCTTCAGTGTTATGGACGAGGCCGTTAGCCACAACGAGTGCGTACTGGCTTATCTCCCATTGGCGCACATTTTCGAGCTTGTTCTCGAGAACTTGGTCGTCTTTGTCGGCGGAACATTGGGATATGGCTCTCCCCGAACTCTCTCAGATAGCAGCATGCGGAACTGCCCTGGAGATATGCGCGCCTTCAGACCAACAGTCATGGTTGGTGTTCCACAAATTTGGGAAACCATCCGCAAGGGCGTTGAAGCAAAGGTCAACTCAGCTGGCCTTTTAACCCGCTCGGTCTTTTGGTCGGCTTTCAATCTCAAATCATTCCTCGTCAAGCAAGGGCTTCCGTTCCAGACAGTTTTCGATAACGTCGTCTTTAAGGCTGTTCGTACGATGACCGGCGGACGATTGCGTTTTGTTGTCAATGGTGCATCGGGGATTGCTACTGGCACGCAACACTTTTTCAGCATGGTTGTCGCACCGATGTCGAATGGTTACGGTCTCACGGAAACTTGCGGTAACGGAATTCTGGGCTGTCCCTTGCAATACACGACTGAAGCCATTGGGCCGGTCACCGCTGCGGTCGAGATCAAGCTTGTGTCACTCCCAGACTTGGACTACACCACAACTACCAACCCACCTCAAGGCGAGATTCTTATTAGAGGCCTCCCAGTCCTTCAAGAATACTTCAAGAATGAAGAAGAGACTGCCAAGGCTATCACTAAGGATGGATGGTTCCGTACGGGCGATATTGGACAAATTGATCCTGACGGACACCTTCGTGTGATTGACCGTCTGAAGAACCTTGTCAAGCTGCAGGGTGGTGAGTACATTGCTTTGGAGAAGCTGGAGGCAATTTATCGGGGTGCTCCGTTTGTGCAGAACGTTATGGTGCACGGTGATAGCAGCTCGCCTCGTCCTATTGCTGTGGTGTTGGCGAATGATAAGGTGCTTGCAGAAAAGGCCAAGGAGTTGGGTGTAGAGGAGAAGAATATGCATTCTGATAAGAAGGTCCGGGATGCAGTGTTGAAGAGCATGCAGGCGGTGGCTAAGAAGAATGGGTTGAGTGGCATGGAGACTGTTCAGGGCGTTGTTGTGGTTGATGATGAGTGGACCCCTGATAATGTGAGTACCTGCGTGATACTGGCAAGATGTTGTCCAAACATACTGACTGATGGCAATAGGGTCTCGTAACTGCCACACAAAAGATTAATAGACGGGCAGTGAGGGAGAAGTATAAGAAGGAGATTCAGGCTTGTGTTGAGAGTCAGTGAGCAACAGTCTGAAGGCAAATCGGCGTCTGGAAATTTGGGTTTTCGGGATTTGGTGTTGGTGATGGGATGGAAGTGTAAGGTACTCATGATGAATGTAATGACTTGATATTTCTTATTATTATTATTTTTACCAAAAAAAGGTTTGATGACTTTTTAATTCATTTTGATGTATGGATTTGCAGCAAAAAAAAAAACATTAGCCATATGAACCCTTCCTCAAGCCCGGCTAGCTCAATCGGTAGAGCGTGAGACTCTTATAAGGAGTACTCCGGTATTATCTCAAGGTTGTGGGTTCGACCCCCACGTCGGGCTCAATTCCCGTCCTAAAAATGATTGAATTCTTTCAAGGTTTTATTTTTTGTGCGTCTTTTTTTTGTTTCTGTGGGTGTGCGTGTGGCTTGTTTTGAGTTGGGGTGGTGGTGATGAGGGGATAACCATGTTTGAATGTAGAGGGTTGACAGGGAAGGGGGTGGATACCTTCTCAACTCCCCCCACCCGGCCCCTTTTTTTGTGTTTACATATCTCGGTGTTTCTTATAGCTGTGGATTACTACCAAGCTGTGGTTGGTTTTTCGTGTTGTCGTTTTAGTTTGTTTGGATTTAACTTTGACTTTCCATTCAAAATAATACCAAGTGTCAAGGCAAAAGGCTACAATACACCCATACACCCACAGCTTACTCTTACTCCTTCTTCCCCTGACCCTCACTACCCCCAACCCTCCTAAACTTCCTCTTATCCCCCCTCCTCATCAACCTCCTATCCCTAGTCCCTTTTCCTCCCTCCCAATACCCTTTTCCCCTCCGTCCAATAACGCTTCTCCCGCAAAACCCACAACTCTCCACGCTATAATTCTGTTCCCTAGAACACCATCCACAAACCATTCTGTTCGCCCATTCATTAACGTGCTCCTCCGCCGAATCGTGACATTTATCACAGGGGTAAACTTTTGCACAGCAGGAAAACCTGAACCAACGAAAACTTTTTTTATAGTGCTGGCAGGCGCCTCTTTCTGGTAAGGGGTCACCAGCGTGAAGACCTAGTTTTTCAGTCTTTTTGCGTGTGGCTGTTGTTGGAGGTAAACGGGAATGGTGGTCGTTTGGTGCGTAGTCTAGGAACTTGACTTCGGGGATTTTAAAGGTGAAACGGGCGTGGCATTCGCGACAGACGTTGGTGATTGTTTCTCCGCGGACGGAGATGATTCCTATGGCTGGGTGGGAGCATTTATCGCAGGTTGGGACGAAGGTGCTGGGTATATTATGTTAGTGATATTCCGTGATAGGAGGGGAAAGACAAACCTTGGAAGCATATCAGCTACTGTACAGCCAGACACATCGATAAATCCTGCTCGTGTAGAGTTCATATGCACGAGCTCTTGACGAAATCTTACTGTAAATGCTGTTGCGCACTTCTTGCAGCTGCTTGACTTTTCGAGATTATTTTTCAGGCCAGTGATATCGTTGAGAGTCTTGCACCGCTCACACTTGACGCTCAACGCCAAAATAGAAACCTGCAACAACTCAATGCCGTGTAGTTCAAAAGACGGAAAAGACATTGCCGTTCCCTTTTCAACCGTTTGAGTCGGCAGAGGTGTTTCCTCAGCTGGTTCTGTCCCCAAAACAGCACCACCTTCCTCCTCATCCTCATCATCATAATCCGACGAACCCGAAGAATCCGAACCATCCATCTGACCCCATTCCGGCGGCCGCGGAATAACATGCACATGTCCTCCTCTTCCAGTCTCCAAAGTCGAAGAATGTTCAGCCTCCTTAGCCTCAACATCCGTCTTCTCAGACACAACTTCCACAGCCGGCGTCTTAGCAGCAGCAGAAACAGCATTCTTCTGCACCTGCTTCACCAACAAATGCATATTCTGAGCCAAATAATTCAAATGGCTCATCAGCGACATTTGCTTCTGCTCCGTCATCGCCTTCTTCGTAAACAACTCCTCCAACCCCTCCGCATCCTCCTCAGATGATTCCACATCATTCAACAAAACCCTCAACGGCTGCAAAGGATAAAGCAGCGGCACAATAAGCTGCACGGACTTGACTTGCTGCAGTCCCCTCGGCAACATCCCCTTCCTCTTTGGTTCCAAAGGCACCGTATAAACAACCCCATCACTCGACTTTTGATAATTTTGTAGTCGTCCCATCCTAGCCTCTAATTGACGCACCTCCTGAGCCCTCCTTGCTTTGGCTTCGGCAATTTCTTCTTTTGTAAAAGATTCCTCAGGGATATAAGGTCGTCTCTGTTGCTGCTGCTGCTGCTGCATGGGCTTCTCTTTCTTCTCCTGATCAACCCCCTTTCCCTTTTCTTCTTCATGCCTCTTATCCTTAAAAATAACAACTTTAACCGTTTCCTTCTTCTCTTCCATCAATAAACCCTCCAACCTTCTATCCAAAGAATTAACCAACCCCAATAAATTCAATTTCTGTTTATCCCTCTCCTCAACTAGTTTATCCCATCCCTGCTCAATATTAATTGCGAATCCCCTAGGAATATTCTTATTTTTGACTAATAATCTCGGCATTTCATTTTGGTCAGGATATCCCTTTGGGATTCTTAGATCACAGTCTAAGTAATCCAAGTCAAAAGGAAAATCAGGATCCGAAGGGTGGAGTTTAAAGAGTAGGGAGGTTTCCCCTCCATCTCCGAGTTCTTTTTCCTCTGGGGAAAAACGACGGCGGAGTTGATTGAGTTGATAGCCTCGGGCATCTTGGATTTGTTGTTGGGGGGTTGGTTTTGGTACGATGCGGGATTGGGGGGCTGTGAGGACTGCTTGTTGGGATGTGGAGGGTGGTGATTTTGATCGGATGGGAATCATTTTGTCGTTTTTTTCTTTTTCAGTGTCAAAGACAGTTTTGGCAGAAATTGGTTTCTTTTTTTGTGAATCTTTTTGCTGAAGAGGAAGTGATGATATTGGTGAGGTGATGAGTTGGTTGTGGCGATAAATTGAGGGTAAGTGGGGGAGAGAACCAAGTAGAAGGAAGAATTGGAAGTGAAACCCACTGGATTTATGATCGCTTTAATAAAAAGAAAAAGAAAAAAGTTGTTGAATTTCCGAAAAAGTGGCAATTTTTTTTTAAGTGGATTGATCTCAAAATGCAGTCAGACCGATGATTGCATGAGCCATATAGTGACTCAGGCCGGAATCATTCACACACTTTGGAAAAGGAAAGAAGCAGCAGCAGAGAAGCGCCAAGATGAAGTGTGGTCAAAAGTGGGGTCGCGGGCCGAAGTGGGACCAATCAAGGTGAGACAAGGTGAGGCTCGGTGTAAAAGGGGAATATCGAGACTTTTTATGAACGGAAAAAAAAAAAAAGAAAAAAATTTAGCTGCGCCTCGTTTCGATCGAGGGTCCTCCGGGTTATGAGCCCGGCGCGCTTCCGCTGCGCCACGCAGCTTGTTTGTCTTGCTTTATTTGTTGAATACTTGGTTCAGACACAAAGTATAAAAGGTTGAGTCCACTTGTGTAAGCGCCACTTGCGTATGCGAGTTCAAACTTTGGAATTTACCAAGAAATTACGATGTTATTTTGAATGGCTCTCGATGTCGCTGGCTGCGACCTTGTCCAGCCACATCTCCCTCGACAGGCAATCCAGCTTCATCACCAGTGCAATAAATCTTCAATGCTATATCCTAGGTACACAAATTCAAATATCCTACCGTTCCCACGTGATATCCGTGGGGTATTAGCCAAAAACCCCCGTCTTCCCGCCATTAAGTCCCGGCCGCAACGTACAGGGAAAGTTGGGAATCTCCCGGTTCAGGTTACCGAACCGAGAAATCAGAAAAATATCAAAATTTATCTATTTCATCAAATTGTTACCGACATTGCTTTGCAATCAAGTCCCGTCCTGTACCACTCGTCGGAACAAAAAAGACACGGGACGGCCTGGATATATACCGGATAAACAAACAACCCCATCTTCTGTAACCTCCACGTGGAATATATCAAAGACATGCGGGCGCGACCGAGAACAAATAAACTTATATCAAAAATAATCTGAGCAATCGGCCAGACTCTGTGGGATAAATATTGCTTAAATAAAATCCGTATCCGTACGCATCCACCACTCATGTGTCATATTTTTCTAATCCAGGTTGATATTCTCATTATTGATGGCGTAAAGTGAAATGATGCTGGGTACAAAAACGGAGAGCGATGGTTTGTTTGGCGTGGAGACGAATATGAGATAGCCCCTGAATCGTTCTGTTGTCTAGGTAACAGAGACAGGGGAAACCATGGTAAAGTCTCGACCTCTCTTCGATACAACAACGTCCCAACCGACAGATCATATCAGTCAACTTTGACAAAACAGAAAATTTGTGACAGATCTCCTCAGGCTCCATAATGCAAGCCCAAACTTGAGCTAGATATGTACGATAACGAAAACAGAACAAAAATGCTGACGAAGCCATCCACTGTGGAGTTCGGTCATTGTTTCTTTTTACACGGGATATTTCTCCTGTAAGTCAAAAATCCTATTTGACCACTCAGAGATGTATAAAACTTGCTCACCGAGCCCAATTTCTACCCCAACTCCTCCTAAGTGCAGCAACAACATCCGTCAACTTATGCAACAGCGGCTCAGATGAACCACAACCACTCAACAAAAAGAAATGATAACAATGTTTGACAGATGACGAAAAGCGCAAATCATTGCTTTTCATTGTGTAACGAAATGCCACTTGGCACGTCTAGACCATGTTGGACCCTGCGAGCCTCACAGTCAGTCAGAAACCACTGGCAGCCATCCCGAACTACCGGATATGCAACAAGATAAGCAGAGTAGTAGAAAATGACTTTGCAAGATTGTGATGGGGACTGAACGACTGGTCCCTGGCCGTCGCAGGGCGTTATCATCCGCTGCAAGTTGCACCCGTGTATGCATGATCCTGCAGTGAAGCACCCGCCATCTCTTAGCGATCACGATCCGACGGCAAGAAAAGATTCTGACCAAACGATACCCATATCATGCATGATGCATATGCTGGGGAGGACATTGCAGATGAGGGGCGTGGGCCGCAACAGCCGACCAAATAACTCCTCTCGAGATTGCTTCATGACCAACAAAAAAGGCATGTGTCTGCCACGTCAGGAATCATGAGAATTAAAAGTTTGAACGTCCGCGATTGCCTGCCTTCCTTGCTCACCTGCTTCCGCCGACCGATTTCTATTATCATTCTAAAGTAGGATTGAGTGCGTGTTGGCGCCCAACCACAGGTGCGCGGCCTGGAATAGTATCCAATGATAAGGCTACATGTGGGTATCTCTTTTCTCGTATGTATGTACGTCTGCGCAGGTTTTC